TCAGTTGCGGTGCTGTTTTAATCCGATCCTGCGCGTATACACGCGAAGCTGCCACAGATTTATGCCCGGTAAGGTTGCCTTGGTTTATGGAGAGCATTAATGAGGCAGCTAGGATGGTCGGTTTATCACGCGCTGTGACCGCACAGGCCTTATTACGAGCCTTACACGACGTACGCGGGTCACGCGGGGTTACGGGCGTGTGCTCTGCAAAGCTGCTCTCAAAATGTCTTGAAAAACACCCTACTTCACTTAAATCGCTTTAGAATTTGACGGTGCAACTAGATAAATTATCGCACGATTCTTAGCTAGTTAGACCAGTCGAAGAAAATAAGGAAAAAATCGCGTATTTACTTGATAAATAACTGCAATGTAAATTGTAAAATTAACATAAAGAAGTCAAGAGGAATCAAAAGCTCAGTTATGTACACAATAGGTAAGAAATCTATAGCAATAGTCCAATAATTGACATATTATTATTTTAAAATCATGATAGAAACTTTCCATAATCGGATAATTTGCAATCCAATCATAGAAGGAATGCATAATAAATAAAGAAACAAATAGGATACAATGACAAAAATGTCTGCACGGAATCTGAATTAATCATTGTACAGTTAAGTCAATTGACGTGAATAATTCAAGAGCATGCATGCTTAACAATCTAGGGATTAAGTTACGTAGAATTAATTAATGAAATGCCAAACTCTGCGAGAATTTACTTTCATTGACAAACGCATTTCAGTTACGCTTGTTACAGTTAAGAGAAAGATTGAATGCGGCTAAATGTGTGGAATTCGCGTCTCTCACGCAGTCATCCGCTGAGAAATGAGTGAGTGACGGCCGAGGGGAAGGTGAGGATGAGAAAGGCTTTAGTGTGAGAAAAAAAACGCCAAATGAAGAAGCTCTGACAGAGAACAATTTCTCACATGTCAATGCCAAAACGCCGCTGAACCAAGAAAAACAAGGAGGATCAAACCCTTGAAAGGTGCTAGAAAATTCATTTCAAGAGGATTTTTTTTCAGGCGTTTTTCAGGTGGGCATTTTACTGGGTTTTTTTTTTTTTTCTTTGAACGTGGTTAAACTCAGCCTAACATTATCCGACGACGCTCAAAACTTGAATTTACTGAGGTAGCATTTGCATAAAATAACACATGTAGTCTGTTTCAATTCACCATTTAAACCAGAGAACATTTCAGTACGTCGGTAATTCTCACGCGCAAGCGAACAAATTAATCCGCACATAAATTCTAATTCAACAAATTCGTCCTTTAATTAAGAAGCACGCGAAAATATAAAACGTCGCCTTTGATTGCCTAATCACTCTAACGGTATATTTGATTAGGAGTAAGAATTTGCATGAAAATATGAATTTAAAAATGCTTACTTATTAGAACCATATCTAACTATAAAGTACTTTCCCCTCTCTCTCTCAATTAACGTTAGATGAATGGCAAACGCATGAGGAATGGATGAGCATAAGAACATGCATGAAAGCAACATGCATAATACTGGCAGGAGGGGAAGAATTGAGGAGGAGTTGCTGCTACGAGGTAATGAGTGTGGGAAGAAAGCAGTCAATTAGCGTGACGAAAACCACACAAGCTTCCCCATGAGGTTTCAAGGCTCACGCAGCCTCGCCGCGACTTGTAGACATGGTAAGAACTTTCAACTTTAAATCATCCTTTTCACGGAACAGTTGTTTTAAAGTCGAGAACACCACAGAGCTTGTTACGAAATATGGTTTAGAACAGAAATGCGATAAAATTCGGACCAAGCTCGATCTTTGGTCAATGAACATAAGAGCCGCAGAGGCGTTTTACTATATATGGTTTGGATTTTAACGTCGCCGTTGTATGAGAACGGCTAGTTAAGTGTTACGGTGAGAAAATCCATAGGTAATAGCATTATTAATTATCTGCAGAAAGTATCAACATCTGTCATGAACTCAAGCAGTATTCAAATATAGTGACATAACATTTTTTGCATTATTGCCGTAATTCATGAAATTGTTGGACAAGAGCGCAGGCGAAGAAGTTATTCCATACTCCGCTGCCGCTTGATAATTCAAGACCACGTTCGGCAAAGCTTAGTTTATAAGGTCGGGGTATGTCGCGCTCATGCAGCATCGATCTCAGTACAGGAACTCGCTTCCCTCAGTTGACATCGAGGAATTCTTTATGAGCACTCGCACTCAATTTAAGTCACGGCGGGACAAGCAACTGCCGTCCAAATGAGAGAGTCACGCCTTCCCTGTAGCTAATAGACAGAGAGCTCCGCTACAACTAGTAATGTATTGTGCTTGCGCTAAACTATTTAAATCACGAACGAATCTGATGTTTTATTGTTCACCTATCAATATGTATTTTAAACAATTGTTCCCCTAACAATATTTGTCAGTAAATTTATACCATTGAGGTCCTCGTGAATTTTTGGTTCACTTCCTGCACGTGAAAAGAAAATAAATGCAATTATCAGGATTTATTGCATCACCCTTAAGGGTGTGCGTATCGACATTTACATTAAGAGAAAAATGACATTAAATTTCGATTCTTCGTAGGGTCAAGTTAAGCATTTAGTTGATGGTCATTTCCCAGAAAGATCCTTCAAGCGTGAGCATAATATTGAACGTCGCGCTGAGCCTCAATTTATAAGATATCCTTGCACATTTGTTGAGCCTTGAGGGCTCCCCTCGACCTGTCGCCCCCGCCATTCGTCGCCATTTTGTATCTCTTAAAGGGGAAAGCACAAGACGTCCTCGAAGCCTTACTTCAACGTGCCTTACGAGGGTCTCAAAAGCTCGTATAATATTGCTAGCGCCCTGCCAGATACTACAGGTCGTCGTCCCGATAGTGTCTGGTCAATTGCAGTGGCTCTTACTTTATAAAGTCTCGCTCGTATCTCAATCAATATTTATAGCAATGCAAAAAGATTGCAGTTAATTTAATATATTAAAGACAGGGTTCGTGGGTTCAACAGATGTCAATTTTCCCGACAGGAGAGCTAGAAGATTGTGAGCGCATGACCCGAGTAAAGATCACCTCCTAAAAGAGCTCTTCTCAAATACTGCAAATGGAAATGAATATAAAAATACCAGTGAAATTTAACGAGCCAATCATCAGAGGATAGAAACTATACACTCGTAATAATTATGATGTTCATATAGATATACAATCATGGTATACGTACGTGCACAATGCAAATGCTAACCTACTGCAAGGCGAATGAGAGAAAACGTCCTTATATTGACCAGGTCGTACCTATACAGCGAGTTAATGTAGGTATGGCTTGAAGTCGAGCAAGGCCGAGCAGTTAATATGAAGCCTCATATCGACCGTAGAACATTTGCTTTCATCCGTGACCGCGACCCCTCGTGGCTCTGTTGCCATCCCTCTCTTTCTCTCGCTCTCTCTCTGTGCCGCCAATGAACTCTTTTTTTAGGAGAGCATCGATTGAGCAGAACACCTTTGATGATTTAAATCTGCGCATATACGCGCCATCAACGTCTATTCAGCATTCATGCCCTTATTCGCTGCAGTCGGTCGACAGTCTCACCGCAATCGCAGCGACAACAGCGTTACTCGTACCGTACTAAATAGGCGACTTGCCAGTAAACTACAAGATTATTCACACCTCGCGATTTCATCGAAACGTTATTGCCTATAATTAATTAATTAATTAAAATAGATGTTTATGAATACAATTCTGATTTAAGAGCAATTCGCATTGTGATTTCACAGACACCATACAAATATTAACAGAAAATAGCAAACGCGGATCAGTTGGTTGAAAACCGTTGGAATTGAAAGAATTTTTAACAAAATTTAATGAATAATCCGTTTTATCGCAAATACCATGAACCGCAAGCAATTGGAAACTCTAAAAGAATAATATGAAATTGCAACAGCCTATATATGGCCCCTCTTGAGTATTTTCCCACAGTCTGTCGCGAACAGCCGCTCTCATGTACGAAAAATAAACGGTTCATTAATCAACAAAACACACAAAAACATATGTAGAGGAACAATTTAGCTTATCGAGAATACTCAACTTTATTATAACATTCAACAGCAATCAACGCTAAAAAAAATGGAACAAGAATTCGAAGATATGCCAAAAAGCTCGATCATGCAAAAAAAAAAAAACTTAATTAATATGTAATCAATAAAAATGTGTAATGATCGTCTAATACAGAAATATTTGGCTGCATAACCATAACCAAGAAATAAACGAGTTCACAAACACAGGAAAGTTGAAATTATAAAAAAAAACAGATCAAAGCCAACTGTTTTGATCGGCCATCAATTTTGGTTTAAATGAAACGAGCTGGGCTCGTGAAACAGAAATCATGAATGCGTACCGTTTGCAATAAAACTGAACGAACCGTGACGAAAACGAAAAAATCGAGAGTCATTAGAAGTTAATTGAACGAGAGTCATTAGAAGTTAATTGAACAGATTACCAGTATAGACAATAAAATTCAATGACCAGATATGCCAAAGCAAAGTCTTAACCGAGGAAATTTTCGAAATGGGAATACAATCACTGCCGAAGTTGCAGGTCCTCAGAACATATAGGATCTTTTATAATAGGCAGACCCAAGGTTCAAAATGGAGGTACATTATAGGAATAAACAGATCATCAGTTGTGATGACTTTGCACAGTGCATAACAGCTTAAAATAAATTACGATTAAATCACGCAAAGAATAACAGTTTGAAGTGTCGCAGCAACTAAAATGAGTATATTTAGAGAAACCTCCCAATAAAGCAATACAGTGTATTTTGGTCAATTTCTCACATCGACCGGAGAGTGAAGTCGAGTGATGAAGTTGTGGTCTTAATAATGTTGAAGGTAGGCGGTAAGAAAAGAAATAGGACTCGAATGCAACACACGGAGGTCAACTAGCATATACCCTAAGGAGTGCAGGGTCACGACGGATGCACACAATTCAGGCAAGAGTCAGTACACAAGACAACAACGAAGGACACAATTTGTGCCTACCTTCGAATTCACGGAAGAGTCTTGATTGAAGTCCTCCTGGGCTCTTCTTACCTGGGGTGAGAGACAGTAAATTAGGCAGGATTTTATATATCGACGTTGCAATTTATCGCATCCCAGGCGATACACTCGTCGACATTACCGAATACATCTTACACGACCGAGGATTCATTCCTGAGTTTTGTAACTATGCACGATTTAATCGAGCTTTGAACCAAGGAATGCAACAATGAATGCAACGAAAACGAGGGAACCATGAAAGGAAAATCAGGATAGCCGCCGTTTCGTATTATATTAGACGAAAGATGAGCGTCGTTTCACTAAATAACAAACAACAAGTCATAACATTGTAAGTTACGAGATTTAATACGTTTTTGTGGTTTCTTGGAATCAGTAGCCAATATTCATGTAAAACTAGAGAACGTAATTAACGAATAAGAAATCTAGATTCCCTCGATCGATTATCAGAAACATTCGGAAAAAAATGTTTCCCAAGGTGAATGTTTTGATTGATTTCCTTGCTATTTCGGGCACAAGGTTGCCTATAGCAAGCGAGTCCTGGTTGGATAGCTGTAGCGATGGCGGGCTAGGTGAAGAAGCTCGTTTGTGCTGAGGATCAAGCAACCATTGGGAGGCGAGAGAAAGCTGCGCCTGTCAGTTGCAGCAGTGCCACGAGTCCATCATCCAGTGACACTCGGCAATTGCGGTGACACTCCAGCTACTCCAACCAATAGCAGCGTCAATGCCATCCTTCTTGCTTGCTTTTATTCCTTCCGTGCCTTCTGTTATGGTGGTAGGTAGAGTTCTACGTGAGAAATCATAAGCTCTAATCAATACATGCTGTAATGTTGGTTCCTAAAAGTATTATGAGGATAAACTCGGTTTCCAGAATCTATACAATTGCGTCCTACAGTCCACCGTACTAGAAAATCAGGAATTCTCTCTTCCTGTAACGCAAAATGTGTACTATATCACGATAAATCTCGACCAAAAATTCAACGATTCAATTAGATTTATGTTCGGCTTTCACACACCTGACAGAAGGGAAATTAACTTCCAAATGAAGGCAAAAGCATTTCTGAATTTCAAATAATAATCTCCATATCGATCAAAAACGAAGAGATACGGCGCTTAAAGCACCTGTGCCTTCATGCCTCTGGCGGTGTCAGTTATGAGGAGATAAAGTGCACTGCATGAGGCGGTCATCGCTGGCGTTGCGATGGTTGCAAGAGTTTAGCATGTCTCACTAACAGATTATATGAAGAGGAGCCGCTCCGTGCATAGCAATAGACGCGAACAAGCGACGCGAGTGGTGCCAATCAAATGGAGAGTGTGAGACGTAATGGAGGAGAAGAGCGCAGTTTATGAGATTACAGGCATTGACCGAGGGAGAGCAGAGAGTAGAGAGAGGGAGAGCTGCCGTTAAAGGGGGCAGGCCGATAGAAGATGCCATCCTTCACGCCTGCAGCCTGAGGGAGGCACAGCCGCCTCGTAACTTTCTACCAACAACAGCAACATGGGAGTTTCCTACGCCAAAGAACTCCTTCACCCGACAACGAGTGAAATTTATTGGCTCCAAATAGCAACTTTGTCAGAGACAGCCCGCACGCGAGGAAACAAAAATATCGGTAAAAACTATTCATTGCAATAGAATAGCATCGCCAAACTAACAAATGTAATCCATTAACGAACACCGCTCTTGTCTGATGGGAACAGACCGAACTGGAAGCAAGTTATCTGTCATTAAGAATCATTGAGATGCTTCATGCACCTAAAGACCAATTATCTTATGATTTGTAAACTACCTACCCTACAAATAAAACAATTTTGCTCATTAATAGATATAAAAGTCAACAATATTCAAGGAAACACAGGAAACTCCACAAAATAACACTAGAAATATCACAATAATCAGATGACTCTATGCAGAAGCTGTAATTAGATTAGTTATACCGATACAGTAGAACCGCCGCACTCGATTACCAGCGAAAGACGTGCGCCCTACGAGGAAAAAAATTGGAGCGATCAATTGTTTCCCAGCGAGGATGAAAGAATGAGCCAAAGCAAATCGATGACAAGGATCGACGCCATAGTTTGTTTTTGGCGGTCGTGACCAGACTTAACCAAGTCCGGAACATCCAGGACATCGCTTGCAAGTTTCTTCTTATACGAAGCGAATCTGTTATCTCTTACTTTAATCTACCAACAAAACACCGTAGCTGAACAACAAGCTTGATTGCAGACACCAGAGATGACGGCCAACTCAATATATCGTGCCAATTATATGACAAATAACAAGTTGAAAGGATCAAATAAAATATAATTACACGTTTGAAGATCGAAAAGATTGGGATTCCGAGAATAGACCAAAGTAACCCACAGTCTTAATTCGTACGAACCCATGCAGAAGCATTCTCTAACTTTGGTACATTTATATCTCTAAATAAGAAAAATGTTGCCCAATTGGATCAGTCGGCATAGGTAATAGAAATAATGCAGTCGAAATGAAGAACAAGTTCTGGAAGAATTGTGAAGTGCGGTAAGGAAATAATGAAACCTGCAGGGCGAGATACGAGAGCACGAAATCCTATATATATGTGGGAATGAGCCGCTCGGGACAAGCACTCGACGCGATCGGTTCATACGCGCGCCGCTGCAAGCCGGAGTCACGGCGCGGAACGACCTGCATGATCCTCGTGTTGAATACATGAATAAATCCATTCTCTTGCCATTGTGCCATTCGTTCCGGGTGTGTCCCAGGACCTTCTTCGAATCACTTGCTCTTTTCCAGGAACGGCTAAAAAGGATAAAAATGAGGATCTCCTCGAGCGCTTTCTGCCACGAATAAAGTTGCCGGAGGCTCACGAGGCGCCGGAAAATTCAGGTGCCGGTGAGCCGCGTATATAGAACGTGACGCTCTCTGGCGAGTGACACCACAAAATATCTGGACTAGGCTTCGTAGATAAAAATCGCGCAAGTAGCAGATAACTCAGAATTTATCAGGAAACCAACTATAAACCGTAATGACAAGTATCATCTTGCGAATTGATTGAGGAAAATTTCATGTCTGGTAAAGGATTGAATAACAGTGCCAGATTTATGATGCTGCCGAGTGTTGCAGCTGGATGCAGGAGCAACACGCGAAAACGCGTGTCGAACCCCAGGAGTGCAACACCCCTTTCACGCCAGGATCGCACCCCTGTTCGCCTGACAGTGACTAATGGCAGTAACTGTACACCGTAGACTGGTCGTCTGTCCCTCCCTAACAATCACATGATGCAAATTGTCAGCTGCAGTCACTACGAGCACTGCAAGACCTCCCGGCCAAATTGTCAACTCTGATCTACCTCAGTCACCCACCACCTCTACGCATGTACTCAACCAAGTGTAAGCTGTGGCATATCTACGACCGCGTCATCGTGTGGTCACAACTGAAACCTCAGTCAGTCCAATGTGCGGTTTCATTTGTCATAGCCGCAACAAAATCAAGAGAAAATAAAAATAAACTACTAAGTATCCTCAAAGAATAATTTAACATATTTGTACTGTTCCATATATCAAAAATGTTGCGAATATAGAAAATTATTAGGATTGAAATTGACTCACAAGGAAAAAAAAATAAATTCAACGAAAAACATCGAATTGCATTTTCGTACTTTTTAGCAAAATGCATTGGTCGGAAAGCTAACCAAAATTATCAGCAAGATTACCAATCACAAGTGAATAAGTAGTAAAATCAAAAGTGAGTGAGTAAAATGATCAAAAAACCCTACAACGAAGAAGCAAAACAATGGTAAATCCGTAGAGAAATGAGAAGAACGCGTCCACAAAGAAAGCATAGATAGGAGGAAGAGTATAGGTCGGAGCGCAGGACCACGCAGGAGCCCCTGGAGAGGCGCGCTGCAGGAGCGCGGCATCTGCGTGAATTACCCAGCAAATGCCTTCAAGATCCACCGTTAAATGAACAGCAGGGGAACCAAGACCTCGACCTCCCTCCTCACAACGCACCCAAACAAAAAAAATCATGCACCGCACCAAGGATCGCCATACTATTCCCGTGCAGGACCACTTCAAAATGAGTGGTAAACGGGAAAATAACGCGACGATTTCCCATTTTTTCATGCACTAATTATCTACTTTGTTTTCACTCATTAAAAGTTTATGACCGGGAAATTTGACACATTATGTATTCCATCAGCTAAAGGATTCTATGAGCTGACGTGGATTTCTTTGCTTCGTAGAAGTAAATGAAGAACAAGAACTGTAGGGCAATTAGCAAACAATAACATAGAGTTCTGTCAGACTACAAATTGTATTGCTCTGACGTGGTGAATGCGTTTAGTAGCTTAACCTACACAGATGCTCTTCATAAAAAGATTAACTTCCTCCATCCATGTTTAAGTGAAGTTGTCAGATTTGTTTGAACACGCTTCAAAATAAGAAATAAACTCGAAACATATTCCTTAAAAAATCCTTTTCCTTCACAAAGCTGTGCAGTCTCAGAATTATGTTCGCACTACTAATCAAACGTATAACAACGTCTCCGATCGAACATGCGAAAAAGGTTGACATTTTTAGGTGGTTGCAGTCCAAAAACAGATGAAAACGTCAAGTAAAAAAACGATGCAATCTCTTCATTTTAGTGTACAATTGTGTAAAGAACCCCCAACGATTCTTGAATTGAAAGTCAAGTAAAAAAAATGATGCGATTTCATATAATTAGTGTGCAATTGTGTAAGAAAACCACAACGATTCTCGAATTGAAATTAAAAACCTCCATTAATTTTCCAACTCAATAAAATTACAACTCAGTAATCGAGCATTAAAATTTTAGAATTTTATCGATGACATGACAATTTAATGCAGAGAAAAGAATACGAAGAGAGTCTGGGAAGAACCGAAAAGCCCAGCAAAACCTCATGGGATACGTTACCGTTCATTTGGTGGTGCTTGAGCCCAGCCAATAATGACGTCATACCTGCAAAGAAGAAAATTGGTTACATGTGCAATATTAATGGTAACTATATGTATTAATAATAACGAAAAGAAACGACGTTTATATTAATAATAATATTATCAACTAAATTTCGGTACAACTAGGCCGAGCCAGTGAAAAGCCAAAATCCACGATCCAAAGCAAACATGGATATCAATTTGAAGCCATGCTAAATAAGAGCAAATAACACAAATAAAAAATAGCCATCTCTGCCGATAAATATACTCAACTAAAAAAAATTGCGAAATATTTCAGATTTCCACAATTATACATACAAGGCGTGGAAATACGGGTACTAAAGCTAAACTAGTGATAAAACTTCCTATCTCCTGCTCCCTGCAGTGTTATGTATACATGGTCATCAAAACCACATCGCGAATCCTACGTATAGAACCCGCGTGTTAGATCTGATAATTGCATTATTTCAATTAGAATCTAGCGAGTATTGAGACAAATGATTGGCTCGCGCCATTCATACTCTGCACTGTGCAGTGACCATCACTCGGGATTACTATCATCATATTGCTGTCGCTGACGACGTTCATGGCCTACCATCATTTAAGTCATGTCTATTAAATCATGCACAGCAGTGCTTATTATCTCAGAGGATCACGCGGCCGGAGTGCGGTACATCACAGCTGGACGAGATCGCTTATTAAAGCTATCCTCGCAGTCCATATCCAGCTAAAAGTTATATCAATAAATTCAAGCCTAGAGTGTGGGCCTGATGTCAATGGCAGATTAACACTGATTACAATAGCGACACCAGAAGCGGCTTGTGCTTTGCCGTCCGTCTCTCGCTTCTCCACAAGCTCGCTACGTGCAGCAACATGAGACGAGGAGTGATACCATGGCAAGCAACACTTCAAACTTATTTAGCTGATCAGCACAGGTCGTCAAATTCTGTTCATTTAGACTAATTTCATTTACTGTGTCAGATATGGACGCAGCGTAAAACCTGTCTCGATTCAACATATGAATATATAAACAATTAAAATGCAAATAATTCCATACAGTGTGCATAGGAAATCTTTAATTAAAAAAACATTAAGCCATTATACCAATAAATTATATTGGATCATAGTTTTTTCGACGAGATAACACAAAGGCAAGTAAAAATTTTAAATGGAAATTTTCTGTAATGAATTGCATCTTGCGTATAAACCTGCAAGGACTACCTTTTAACGACCAATATACCATCATATACAAATACGCTCGCTATATCTAAGCATATCGACTTGGATCCACGACGTGAACTCTGATATAAATCGACCTTCATGGTTTGCCATTTCTAAATAATTCTTGCAGAAATGAAAATGATTTGAGACAATCCACATGACGTTTCGGTTAATTTGCTTGGCAAGAATATAGAGGAGACCAGCAATCGATATCATCGCGATTTTGAAGCCTTTTTTTAGCCTCAAGTATGGATGCGCTCTAAATTTGCCTGTTTCCATAAAATGTACCCATTTACTGTAGAGCAATTTCAGCCAATAAAAGTTTCGAAATATTGGATTGGTCAGAATCTTTCTGAAACTCTGACAAAATAAAAACCACGTATGAAAGAATTGTATAGGACACTAATTTGAAGTATTCGGAGCTATATGGGGCCAAGGGGTTAAAGGAGTAAAGGGGGGAGGAGTATTTGAAAGAGTGTTAAAATTACAGCACGTTTCTAACAGACACCAAGATAGAAAGATGGATATCACATAGCTTGCAAGAATACGTTTTGAAAATAGCCAACGAAGAAGAGCGTCTGGGCCAGGTAGTGAGGTTTTATTTTATGGGGAGCTGAAAGAAGGCGTTCAATTAGGCTTTCGATGCCGTGCATGATCTGGCCTGAAAAGGGACATCAAGTGTCTCTATAAAGAATGTTGGCATGAATATACGAGGCGGCGCCCAAGTGACACAGTGCGCACGGTGGCTACAAATTTAGGTCCTGCACCATAAAGTATTTCACAGCAGGAGACTCCATTAGGCAGGTTTGGACGAACACCTGTAGACGGACCTTTGCTATAGGCTTATAAAGCTTATGCATATACGGTTACTGGCAGACCCCTTTTGGCTTTTTTACACGAGGAATTTTTTTTTTCGCGTCAGTGCGAATAAACGAAAAGTACAGCGACAATAAACACGGTGCTTTAGACATGTTGCCTTTACGAATGCATCATTGTGACTTTTACGGGTTATTTAAAATATTCAGTAAACGGATTAAGTGAAACTTTGAAAGTGAAGCAAATACCTGCGTGAACCTATATGGAACCATCGCAGCTGAGCGCTGCTTCATTGACTGCCTTTGGTCGGCCAACAATTGCGTGGCCTTTGGTCGGCCACGCAATACTCTATGGATGTTAATTTAAATGATTTATCATTGTTATTAGCCGCGAAATCATACGGAATATCATTTAGGCAGTCGAAAAACCACCTGATAGATATAGAGGATAAACTTCAATCGAAAGCTAATAACTTAAAATTAGAGACAGGATCCGGGCTGAGACAAGCAATAAATATATAATTTTAACGAACAAAGCACAGCTGTTTACTAACTTTGGAAGATGTGTAATTGAGGCAAGGCTAAATATACCTCACACCGAGTAGTGTGGAGATGCTGCCTCTTAAATGAAAATCTACTTGGACGTTCTCCAAATTATGAAAATATTCCATTTTGTTTTATATTCGTATTTTGACGAATAGAGGGAGATTTAGATCATTTCTACTGAGAATCAAGCACCAAGACTATCTTACACAGGCCGACCGACCAAGCATGATGACGAAGGCAGCCATAGGTTCAATAGCCGACATCAAAGAATGGAAAAGAAAAGCCTGCAACGTTGCTGTCGCGCCATAGCCAGGCTTTCGCTTAATTAACCATTGTTCGTATAGTAGAGTAATGCTTGTCGCGCTCGACTTAGTTTGATCGCTTCATTACACAGCTCAGTTGTATACATCATCATGAAATTAAGAGGAATAAGACGAGTGGGTGAAGACTCGAATGTCTGCACGAACCATGATAAAAAGCGTGTGTTGAATGAGAGAACTGTTGTGATCAGAATGATTTCTGGACCTCCATTCCAAATAATGAATACTATAAAAAATTGGTGCAACCTAAATTGAAGCTATATTTAGTAGAACTTACATCAACATGGTTCATCTAGCAAATTTCTGATAAATTCTCATCACTAATTTAAAACTGCTATGGATAGAACTAACTAGTTGAAGAGCTGAAATATATAAGTAATGGAAATTCTGAGGTAATTCTAAAGCATCGATTAAAATCCACCAACTTTGCGGTCGTTAACATACGATGTTCATCTCCTAAATGTGTCAGCAAGTTAATCAGCATTGCACTGTCTAAGAGGCCCACATGTTGCACCATACGAGTGTGAACCTTGCATGATCACGCGCTCATATTCAGGCACAGCGTACGACAGCGCATGAAACCTGCTATGCCTGGGCTACATTGATGCCCCTATAACATAAATTTTAAGCAAGAGTTTAACAAAAGAGAGCAGGAAAATAGCTTTCAAACGTTATTCGGCAATAAGTTATCATACAGCGCAGGTCTCCTCACTGAACCGAATTTTCTTATGTGGACTCAGCGTATCTTCGAGGCGTGATTGCAAGCTAGTTTTAGGTGTTATTTGTTGTGTAAACAATATTCCTATTGTAACTATACTTAACAATTAAGTAAACTTTATAAATAACAACTTCACAATCAGAAAAATGAAATTCACTCCGAAATTGTGTTGAACTTCGATGAACTTCAAGCAAATACGTACATTTTGAAATTTCAGCAACGATGTCTGATGAATATAAAGAACAGAATAAAAAATATCGGCCTGAATAATACCTATGTGTCTATATATAACGAGTAATTATAGTTAACACAAAGAAACAGAAGTTACACAAGAACATCAGTAAAAATCATTATTCAAATGGGCACACCCAACTGTTGAAGGGGTTAAAATAATTAATATTAAAATAATTAATATTGAAATAATTATTAATATTGCACCTGACTTTTATTCAACCTTCCGACGTTTTCATTTGGTCAGGACGATAAATAAGCTAAGTTATTCGAGTCCGCAGAGCTCTGTAAAATACTGATATCGAGCAAGGGAGACAATAAAATTAGTGCAATATTGACTTAATTGAGAGCGGGAGCGTTTCCAATAATATGGCAATTGTGTTATAATGCGGGAAATTCAGGGGAGTTCCTGCAACTCCAGTGCAAAGTAATGATGCGCATATGATGGAGAACTCTTGCGTCTGGTTCTCGACTCCTGGCATAATTAAATAATAATATTTGCAGCTAATCCTGATAACGCATCGATAAATAAGCTAAGTTATTCGAGTCCGCAGAGCTCTGTAAAATACTGATATCGAGCAAGGGAGACAATAAAATTAGTGCGATATTGACTTAATTGAGAGCGGGAGCGTTTCCAATAATATGGCAATTGTGTTATAATGCGGGAAATTCAGGGGAGTTCCTGCAACTCCAGTGCAAAGTAATGATGCGCATATGATGGAGAACTCTTGCGTCTGGTTCTCGACTCCTGGCATAATTAAATAATAATATTTGCAGCTAATCCTGATAACGCACCGTAATAATGATCTATTCTATAAAAAGCCGGGATAATTCATCTACTAGGATGGTTCGAGTTTAAAGGCGAGCAGTACATCAATAATAATAAGATATTCTATTTTTGAACAAGATAATGCCATCATTAAAAGGATTCAATTCGTTGGAAGAATTTAAAAGGTTTCGAAGTAGGTAAGAGTTCATATACGTTTCCCAAGAATAATCCTGCAGAGACATGATAATTTCAAGTTTCTAAGCGAAGCTAATTTGTTTACATATATGGTGAACTATGTTTGTGGATGACTAGTTAATAATTTAGTGGGTTTAGGATGTTAGCCGGGGAGTTCTATTACGTAGCAGCAACTTCACCAATAATTATTGAAGAGTGCTTCTTTAATTC